CCAGTGGCAGACCCAGCTAGTGGTGAGCTAGGGCCGCCCTAGTTGGATCCGTCGAAATTTTTAGTCAGTTCAGAGCGTTGTCGGAGTTACAGAATTGAAGTCTTCCAGGCGGTCGGGACATAGATGGAAGAAGAGGCAAAAGTGGACCTGGGCCGTTTTTATTTTATTGTTGGGCTGATTTTCTGCTGAATGGATCTCTTTTGTTTTAAAATCATAGGCCCAAATGACAAATCAATTGCCCACAGGCCCTAGCCCTTCTTTGGTGATCTGTGGACTGTGAGCCATTTCTCTTCTCTCTTGATTTTTTATTATTTATTATTATTATTATTATTATTATTATTTTGTGCCATTGGTGTGCATCTAAGATCTATCATCTATGTGAAATTGTGAATGTTGAAATTTTAGTGTTGAGTTGAGTGTTGGACTGTTCACTGTTGGAAGACGAAGTTCGAAGTTGGAACTATCTTCAAGCATTGTGTTCTACAATCTTGTTGACAAAATTTCTTGCAGGTTTCCAAGATTTCTTCTTGTTTTCTTATGAGATTTTTCTTCTACTTAAGATCTAAAATCTTGGAAGAATTAACCCTAAATTATCTATGATTGATTTATTACCTCGATATATGAACAAAAATGTTGAGAAAACATTGTAATAATTACAATTTTTGAGAGCTGATTTTTGGATATAGCCCATAGTTTCTTTCCCTTTGCACTAGAAAAATTTCTCTCTAAATATTGTGTCCCTTATTTTGGTGTATTTGGCTTGGCTCAAAAACTTTTCCGTAGGAATTCAAACAAGTTTTCTGTATTCATCAATCACCACTTGTTGTAGTTATGTATTACTTTTATTTCTCCTTTACAAAATGAGAAATTCCAATAAATATGTAGTGACTGAAGTTCATTAAACTAATTTCATGTTCTATATATTTTTTTTTTCTTTGAAAAATAAAATTTATCATCAGCCCTGAATTTTTCTCTACATCATCTTCAATGGATTGGCATTTATGTTAGCAACAGAATTCTACAGAGTTCATATCATGCTTCTTTTGTGTGTAATTTTGTCTTGAATCTATAATTTGTCGAAAAGTTTAATTAAAAAATGTTAATTGAACAATTTGCAACTTCACGCATACTTTTAAATTAATTGCTAGTATATTGCTAACTGGAATCTTCATCAGAAAACTACTAATTAGTCTCAATATGTGATTTATGTAGTCTTTGGTAAAATATAATTTGATGCTTAATTTATGTTTTACGAGTCATTAACTTATTACGGAGAATTGTGATTTATGACAAATAATTTATGTTTCACGAGTCATTAACTTATTACGGAGAATTGTGATTTATGACAAATAATTTATGTTTCACAAGTTATGATTAATGATTTGGGAATTTTTGCTTAGCAAATTAGGATAAGTGAAAAAAATTTATGTTTTATTTAATATTATTTAATCAAATTTTAATAAATGACAGGACTATTATGATCTTTAATTGTCGACGGTCAACGGTCAAGCTCCGTCCTAACTGGACTTCGATACTGAATTTGCCACTGCATGCATCGATAAATTATTGATGTGTATAACAGTCAAAAAATATTTTCCCTCCACATTGAAGAACTTTTGGATGGATATAAACTAAGGAAATCGATTCTGCATTTATACATAGTAGAAGGCAGATTAGTCTATTAATAGTATTCGAAGTCGTGAAAAACTAATTTTGAATAATTTTGCCCACAAGTCATTTTATCATGTGTATTGTTTTGCCATTTAAATAGATTAGATGGTTTCTGTCAAGTTGGGATACTTCACACAAAACTTTAAAAGATTAGTGACATTATGCTACAAGCATAAACATTAGGGACTCATATAGGAATTTACTTTCAAAATATATTAATGTCGTTGATACTAATGACTTGCACAATCAAAATAAAGAAAAAGTAAAAAGGGAGTTGAAGCGAGGTATGCCCTAGTAAAACTCCTATATCGTAGTAAAACTCCTTAAAACAGATTATGCTCCCTTCATAGGTGTCAACGAAATTATAGGACTGATGTCTTCTAAGATACAACGGCTCCTTCACAGTCGGTAGTGTATTATACCAATCTTATTGGTCGAACCAAAGTGTTAACATTATTCTTCTGGAATGGAGCAAACTCGAACTCAAATGCTCAGATGAAATTTCATTTATGAAAATATTTTGGATGAAATTATTTCAGTAAAATGAAAGAAACAAAATTTTATTTAAAAGGAGGAGAGAATTTGAAATCAATTGATGGTTAATTGATTTGGTGCAGGATTTATGGAAGGAGGGGTCTCAACTTATAGATTTCAAAAATTTCAAGTGAATGGTTGCACCAATTGGTCGGATCAGTTTGAACCCTTAGATCACACCAATTGAAATGGTTCAACGTACATCCGTAATATAGGAACGGCCGATGTAGACACGACGCGGATGCCAACGCATTGAGCCACTTGCTTGCTACTCGTCGAACCACCGTTCCAATTTTGAAAACTTTGAGGCTCTTTGGCTCCTTACAATGAAGCCTACGTGCAAAGTGCACCTCTAAAGTGCCTAATACTACCTTTACGAAGTTCGCGAACTGGGGAAGGGCCACGAGACCGAGTCCTAAGACACGACACAAGCGTAGGCGGCTAGCTAAAGCTAGCCTTAAAGAACTAGTGGAAAGCATGGCTAGCCATCGTGTTGTAGGTGGGCTAGTCCTATTAAATTATTAACTCTAATAGGTGTTCCACAAGATAAATGTGGGATTCAATACCATCACTTTTCCACTTAAAAAATATCTAATGGGCTCTAAATTGAACACTTTTCCAATTTACCATTTAATTTCAATAGCCCACCACATTAAGTAATCCAATTTAATGTCTTGATCTAAATATCATTAAACAGTCCGACTTAATGTCTTGATCCAAATTTTTTTCAGCAATCCACCACAAGAATGAAAGAAGTTGACAATGATCTAGAAAGACGAAGAAGAGTATTACCAAAAGATAATGCATCAACATAGATATTTTTCACTTTGAACATTCCTTAGTAAGAATCTATTACTTAGTTAATTAGTGAATACAATGTTTTGGACTGTCGACCATTATTGTAAGCCTAGACAATTGACTAAGACCTGAACTCTCTTAGGTTCTACAATTACGTTACAGAATTTATCTATGCAAAATTTTCATTTGACTTGGCCATTTTAGCACTCACATATATGATATTCTATAAAGAGTGCCCTATAATACTTCACTTGTACTAATTATAAGATATAGTCATTCATTAAAATCATGACTTATCTTAACCAATCTTCTTTACACAGAACTTATTTGCATCATAGAAATGAAGACTTAAAGCTTTCGAACTGCTTCTCCTTGAGTCATTTATAACTAGTTTTTCTATTGAACCTAGTCTACAGGATCTCGAGTCGTCAGGTTATGTTTCCATTAAGTTGACCCACTATATAGGCTTTAAACACATTTTTCTTGATGCGCAGTCTATTCTCTCTCTAGATAACTCTCATGTTAACGAATTCGCCAAGTTATCCTTTGATTAATCTATTGATATTGTTTCAATTGAGAGTAACCATCAAACTGTATTTTGTCTACGACTTATCGTTGTACATAAAAATTTCTGTTCTAACTATAGTTACCTGATTAGTGCAATGAACACATATAACTAGAATGGAGTTTATCCATATCGTAATATCTTCTTCAAAATGTCTTAACCATTCAACCTGTTCTTCTACTTTATCTAAAACAATAAAGCTCGAATTCTATAGTGGATCGAGCTATACGCCTTTGTTTAGAAGATTTTCAAGAAATCACACCACCTCCGAGAGTATATATATTGCAGCTAGTAGACTTAAATTCAATCGTACCTAATATCCAGTTGATATCAATGTATCCTTCAACAACTGGATGATATTTTCCATAATGCAACGAATATTCTTGGGTACGTTTTGGAATTTCTTGTATAGCAACTTAGCTTATTTATCAAATAAGCTATATCTAACCTTGTTCAATTCATTAAGTGCATTACGTTTTCAAGTATCTGGAAATATTCTAATTGTTGTTTATCATTTTCGGTATTCTTTTGAAGAACTACATAAGGAGGAAATTGATTGTTAAACTCATTAATACCATGTATCTTAAACCTCGCAATCACTATATTTATATAATGTGTTTGAGGCAAGATTGTTCCGTCTAGTGTTTTAGAGAGTTTTATTTTCAAAATCAAGTCTGCTTCGCCAATATCTTTCATATCAAAGTTATTGGTAAACATTTTCTTTGTCTTGTTAATGATTTCTATATTAGTCCCTAATATGAGCATGTTATTCACATAACGACAAACCAAAATGCACGATTCTCTGAATTTCTTTGAATAAACACATTTATCCCAATCATTAATTGTGAATCCATTTTTAATCATTATTTATTTAAATATGCTTGAATGATCCCTTGAGAATGTAGATAACCCAATTCTGGACTTAACTACTAGAGCGTTATAAATATTAGACATCTTGTCCGGCGAAAAGACTACATCCAGTACTCAAGAAATGGCATATCTATTTACTCTATCAATAATCGAGCCGAATCTGGTGTATCATAACGAATTATATCATCAAACCCTTTGTGCCATTGTTTGGGAGCTTGCATCAATTGTACAAGGATTTAACGAGTTTACATACTTTCTTATTGCTCCCTATAAATTTCCTCGATTAACTCATCATTTAAACTGCAACGTTAACATCCATATGATATATCTCCACGTCATACAAGCACCATTTAACCCTTGGGTTCATGCTCTGCCTAAATCAACTCACATAAATATAAATTCCCGTGTTTAAAACTTGTTATTCCCGTACATATACGTGGCATAAAATGGCCCCACGAGGACACGAGCAATTTAACCCTTCGGCCAACTCTCTGCTCACTTAAAACCCAAATATTTGCTAGTTAAGTTTTGCACAATGATTTGAGTTTGAGCCAATGACCCATTTTTACCTTTTTCCAAAGGTTGTGAATTTATTTGGATATATTGGATGATCTGGAGAGGACCATGACTAGTGTGTTTATATGGGTACATAGGACGAAACAAAGATTTAAAGAGAACGAAAGGCAAATTATAAGTTTCGAAATGGTTTTGGATAATGCTCATGCTTCTTCCAACGTAAACATTGCGACTGCCTCAGTAGCTATTCTACATTGCCATTTCAGGGCATTATCAAAATGAAGATTTAATCAATAAAGAAGTCTCTCGAACTTTCCTTGACCGCATTATTTCTTGGTGTATCTCAGACCACCTGAAAATTTTCATTCAAGACATTCCAGACCTGGTATAAGAGGCGCAAACAGTATATTATGAGCCGGGAAATAGAATAAATTAGTAGAATTGTCAAACTTGATGGAAATATTCACACGCACTATTGCTTAGCAAGAAAGTTTTGCTTTGAGCTCATCTGCCACAGCATCAATAAACTCTTCAGTGTTTAGATACTTGTCTCGGCCGAGCCTGTAACATTATAAAGGAGTGCACAATGATGAGTAGAACGATATACTTTCTTACACTTCTTCAGGAAAAAAATAGGACTTTAGGATTATTTGACTGAGAAAACAATGAAATGGTCCACTCACTTGGATCCATGGATGATAAGGGCAAGATCCTTGGTCATCTTTCCAGACTCCACTACACCAATGCAAGCTGCTTCCAGTTTCTCAGTGAAATCCAAGAGCTTATCATTGTCGTCTAATTTTGCCCTAAACATTTTGCTTGTTTGTTAATTATTTTTTTTCGTATTCATGGTTAAAGGAAACCAACAAACGTGCAGTGCAAAAGGATATCTAAAAATAACGTATTTCATAATAGCAAATTGTTAGACTCAAAACCAAATTCAGTTACCTGTGTGCAAGCCCTCGAGTCCAAGCAAAGATTGAAGCAATGCTATTTGTGCTGGTTTCACCTCCTTTTTGGTGAACTCTGTAGTGGCGTGTGACAGTTCCATGGGCTGCTTCAGCTTCAATAGTCTTTCCATCAGGGCACACCTGAATAAAATCAAGAAATATATTAGATTCTCAACTGAAGATATGTATGAATGTTGAAGTTAATACTATTAAGTCATCAATGTAGTTTTGTGATGCTAGAGACAGTAAAATTGTGGGGTAGGGGTACAGAAACAAAAGAAAAAAACTAAAAAAACATAGAAATCGATAAAAATTAGCATGGAAACAAAACTGCAAAGCAGCAAAGATGACAAAAGAACATGAGGAAATACAAAATTAAGATAGAAATCATTAAGGAGTGTCGAACATACCAAAACTGACGTCATCAGCCCAAGAGATCCAAAACCTGCGAGAACAAAACAAAATATTTGAGGTTGTAATAGCTAAAGTTAAAATGAAATAAGAGCATGCTCAATAGCTTCTCTCAAGTTATGAAATAAGAGCATGCTCAATAATTTACTATTCTATTCATACTCTATGATATAAGAAGAGCATAATATTTGCCCGATAGATGTAGCTTTGAGATTCTACAAGTTTTTCATTCATACCTTGAGCTAAGAAATCACTCTGAACATCCCCATCGTAGTTCTTGCAAGCCCAAACGTACTCTCCTTCACTCTTTAGAGCATAGGCAACCATATCATCAATCAGACGGTGCTCATACCTATATATTTAATAATACAATTGCAGCAATCAGTGACATTTGAAATATTCCATAAAGCCAGAATGGCTGAGATCAAAGGTAGAGCAACTCACCATATTCCTGCTTCCTCGAACTTGGATTTCCAGTTTGATTCGTAAACTTCTTGAAAAATGTCCTTGAATCTTCACAACACCCCACCAAAGACAGAAAAAACGAACTGATTAATACATTCAAATTAAAGAATACATAATAAAACACACATAAAATAACTCGTGGTAACACAAAAATGCCACTAAATGTTCAGGAAGAATAACACCAACATAGACAAAGAAATTTGAAAGCAGTTTATGCATAAAATGTTAAATAAGTTATTCAATTCAAAGGAAGCACACTGCATACCTTCCATCATATTTCTTGAGTATGGTATTCTTTGTGCTAAGATACAATGGCCATTTCTTCTGGTATGCAGTGTTCATTGAAGCTTCAGCAAAGGAACGAATGGACTGCATCCCACAAGCATTCAAGAAATATTTAGCGTCCAGAAATTAAATATTCTGATGTCAAAACTCTATAAATTTTGAAATATCATACTGATAGACCGGCAGTCCACTTGATATACCACAGGTGTAAAAAACGAAGAAGGGCAGTATAGGGAATTGTGGGAAGGGCAGTCACATGCACAGTTACAGAATCAGTTGAGGAGGCAAACCAAAGATAAATAGAGGAAAGAGTTATTGTAGATGGCAGGCAGAAATTGGTAGAATAGTGGGAGAGTACTGGCCACTCGAAAACCAAATACCTTTATTTCATTTTTCCTTGTTGCTGCATTATAGAATGCACTTCCAGTATATTACTGTTATTCATATCCAGATATTTTATATGTTTAAGCACCATTTCTGAAATACAAAAGAGTCATTTACATCTGAATTATTACTTTTCTTCTATCATCTTCTAACTTCTGTTCTTAAGCCTAGAATTTGAATTGCATCTGTGACAGGTTCCTATCATTGTTATAAGAGCACTACGATCATGATGGTGCATTTATAGGATCGGGTGGGAGGAACGCAAGAGAGGAGAAAGGAGGGAATGACTCAGAGTATACTCTGCATTCTGAAAATTTCCTAGGTTTGGAGACAAGCAATCGAGCCAGAAGTTGTGGTTCATGTTAAGAGATAAAATCTCATATCAATTAAAAATGGAAACATAAACCAACTTATATAAGATTTTGGACTACTTTTCTTAATAATGTTGACATTTTAAGATGGAAACCCAAGTCTTAACATGGTATCAGAGCATATTAAGCTCTAACGAGCAATTCAATCCGATTAAGACTCAAAAAATGAATATATGGATTTCAATATTGGTCCATTCAAACAATCTACCATCTTGTAGGGGCATATTAAGGGTAAAATCCGATGGAAACATAGACCAACTAAGCTTTGGGCTACTCATCTTAATAAGATTGAACTTTTAAGATGGACCCTAGTCTTAACAGTTCAGGGGAAAATTAGAGGCTAGAACTAAAGGGAAGGAGGCTGGAGATGCCTCTGTTCTTGGGAAAAAATCTAGACGATTGGATCTTCGAGGCTGAACGTTATCTTTTAATGAATCAGTTGATATAGGTGGAAAAATTGGAGACGGAAACATTGTGTTTCGAATGTGGCGCACTCACCTGGTATCAGTGGGAACAGAAGAGAGGGTTAAGGAATTGGGAAGAACTAGTGTCAATGAGACTTCGATTCACGTCTTCATTAGAGGGCACCATGGAGGAGGATTCCTTACTCTTCAACAAGATAGGCCAGTAATGGAGTATCGGCTAGCCTTTGAGACTTTAGCTGCGCCAATTGGAGATGTTTCAAATGCCATCTTAGAGGGCCATTTCATAAATGCGCTCAGTCTGAATATAAAGGCTGAAATCCTAGTGTTGAAGCCTAGAACAGATCATGGAACTAGCCCAATGAATTGAGGAAAAAATCAGATGGTGCAGGCCTGTTTTGATGGATTTGACCCAGAAATAAATTAATTCCTAACCCAAATTAGCAAAACCCTCTAGACCGGCAGAATATTTAAACAGCCCAAACATCATTCTACGAGCTGCGATGCTGATCGGATACAGAAACCTCCCTCCTACAGGTGCTGCGTATGATACCCCCAAAATCTTTTATAGTCATTAATTAAGAAAATTAGGACCTTAGTGCAAGAGGATGAAAGTCAGGAGATCAAAATGCATATTGACCAATAGTTAAGAGACTACAAGTGTAATTCCCTAAACTATATATACACATACACATACACATACACATACATGTACATATACATATGATATGAATATTTATGGTATAAGTGTGTATTATATGAATGTGGTATAAATGTATATATAGTACTAATATATATATGGAAAAATTGAATGAAATTAAGTTATTCCTTATATTTTAAAGATAAGTTAGGAAGATTCCTTCCTAAATAAGTGAACTACCATATATGTGTAAAATATATAAATGATTGACTGTTTTAAATTATGAGATTACTATAATTATGTGTCAATATATGTATATATAATTATATATAATTATGACGGTTGATATAAATTATATGATTACTATAGTTACGTGAATCTATGTATATATAATTATGATTGATTGAATTAAAATATAGTATTACTACAATTACGTGCGCATATATATATATGTATAATTATATAAAATTATGGTTGATTGATTTAAATTATATAATTAGTACAACTCATTATTTTATTTAGTGCACAATTATAGGGACATCATTATGACACTTTCCTTTTGGTACCCCTAGATGCACCTATAAGTACCACACCCAAATCACAACCACAAACACGCACAAATGATCACTTTATTGAAAAAGTTAAATTCTCCAATACATATTTACTACCATTATCTTTTGATTATCAAGGTAAGTGTAGTCATATGTTGTATGTTAAACTATTTTTCACACTTTAAAGTACAAAATTCGATTATGAATATGATATGGGTCCTATATGTTTAAGTTTAATAAAGCGGAGTTTAGTAGCGCTAAGCACAAGAATTATAGCAACGAAGTATGATTCTTAATTCTCCTTATGTATGTTATGATTATGTACTGGGATTATGGCCGTCTAAGTTCAGTTTCTAATCCCCGTGTCTCATTATGTATGATAAGAATTCCAAAATTTTAAATATGAATTACGATTTATGTGGCTTATTAAGATTTTATCTCATTATTTATGATTTTTTCCCTTTTACGTAATTAAGGTTCGAGGCATTGGAGTTTGGAATTGGCCACTGGTGGTATAATAAAGAGGGGATAATTTAGGAATTTTCAACAAAAAATATTATGATTAAGAAAGTTTTTATTTTTAATTACTGTAACTTTGGAATAATTATCCTTTATGAAAGTTCTATTTCTACAATATGTATTTAATGAAAAGGGTAAATTTTGGATTGCTACACTGCGACTTCCAATTTTAAAAGGCCCAATGAAGCTGAGTTAAAGAGCAAGCAAGAGAGCTCTGCTTCCGCATTGACGAGAAATTCTCTATTGGGAACAAGTGTAAGAACCAGGTATTGCAAGTCATGTTGGCTGAGGAAAGAATTGTATGAAGGAGAGCAAACCATTACAGGAGAGGTGGTGGAATTGTCCATGAAATCATTGGTAGGACTCACTCCATCTCAAACCATGAAAGTGAAAAGGGTAATTTCAGCTCAAGAGGTGGTAGTACTAATTGATTGCGGGGCTAGTCACAATTTTGTTTTAGCTGAAAAAGTACAGAAATTGGGCTTGCTAAGAATGAATACAACTGGATATGGGGTGATTATCGGTACAGGGATGGTAGTGCAAGGCGCAGAGGTGTGCAAGGGGATGCTATTATCCCTCCTGAATATTGATATAGTCGGGGATTTTCTTCCCTTGGACTTGGGGAGCTCCCACGTAATTTTGGGGATGAAATGGCTATAGGCCACTCACAATGAAATTCGAAGTTAGGGGAACTACTATGACTTTGCAAGGGATTGAAGCTTGAGTAAAACTTTGGTCATCTTGAAGGCAGTGATGAAAACCCTCAGGGAAGGGGGAGAGGGTGTGCTTCTCGAACTGGGTAGTATGGGGGTCGAGTTTGGGAAGGTACAGGGGGAACTCCAAAAATATTGCAGAGGTGTTGAACGAATTTGAGGAGGTTTTTGAGGAGCCTGTGGGGCTGTCCCCGCAACGAGCTAGGGATCATGCCATCCATTAACAACCGGAACAGCCCCTGTTACAGTGAGGTCATACTGCAACCCACATGCTCAGAAAAATAGGAGAGGAAAACATGGAAATTTTGGAAGTGGTGGACCGATTAAGCAAATATGGGCCACTTTATAAAACTTAAGCACCCTTTCACGGCTACAAGCATGGTTGGAATTTTTGTGAAAGAAGAAGTGTGACTACAATGGATACGCTGCTCAATAGTATCACATAGAGACGAGGTATTCGAAAGCCATTTTTGGGAGAAGTTATTTCGTTTACAAGGCCAAAACTCTATCAAAGTACAACTTACCATCCCCAATCCAATGGACAGTCGGAGGTATTAAATTGCACCCTTTCACGACTACAAGCATGGCTGGAATTTTTGTGAAAGAAGTGGTGCGACTACATTGGATATGCCGCTCAATAGTATCAGATAGAGACGAGATATTCGTAAGCCATTTTTGGGAGGAGTTATTTCGTTTACAAGGTATGAAACTCAATCGAAGTACGGCTTACCATCCCCAATCCAATGGACAATCGGAGGTATTAAATTGCACCTCAGAGACATATCTGCATTGCTCTGCTTCTTTGCGACCCAAATCTTGGTTCGATTGGTTGTCGTGGCTAAATTATGGTATAAAGCTTCATTTCACACAACAAGCAAGACTACTCCGTTCCAAGTTGTATACGGGTGCGAACCACCTGCCTTGCTAAAATTTGAAGAACGATCCACCCCAATTTCAGCAATAGAGTAACAACTCGTGGAACGGGATCAGGTACCAGAGGAATTGAAAGCACAGGCGAAGATGAAGAGCATAGCTAATTCAAAAAGGAGAAATGTTCAATTTGCAGTTGGTGATCTTATTTATTTAAAGGTTAGAATGTATCTTCAGAAATCCTTGGCTGCACGACCTAATGAGAAGCTAGCACCCCGGTTTATCCATTTACAGTGGGGTAGAAGGTTGGTCAGGTTGCATATAAGCTACTTCTTCCTGTAACATTCACCGTGTGTTTCATGTGTCCCAGTTGTTCAAAGCATAGAAAGCAATGCAAGCAATGAAAGTACCTATTCAGTTGAGTAAGGAGTTAGAGATGTCGGTTGAACCAGAGGTACTACTTAGGGTGCGACATGGCCTGGGTAACAACATTCGGGGCTGGATGTTTTAATACAATGGAAGGGACTTTCCCTGCTAGAAGCCCCTTGGGAACCTTATGACATGATTAAGCAACGATTCCCTTCCTTCACCTTAAGGACGAGGTGAGTCTCAAGGGGGGAAGTATGGATAGCCCCGAAGTCCACTTGATAAAAAATGAGCAAAGGCAGTACAGGAAATTGCGGAAATGGCAGTCACATGCAGAATCGGTTGGGGAGGCAAACCAAAGATAAATAGAGGAAAGAATTATTGTAGATGGCAAGGAGAAATCGGTAGAATAGTGGGAGAGTATTGGCCTCTCGAAAGCCAAATACCTTTATTTAATTTTTCCTTGTTGGTGCATTATAGAATGCAGATCCAGATTAGTACTGTTATTCATATCCAGATATTTCGTATGTTTTAAGCACCATTTCTGAAATACAAAGAGCCATTTACATCTGAATTATTACTTTTCTTCTATCATCTTCTAAATTCTGTTCTTAAGCCAAGAGATTGAATTGCATCTGTGACAGGTTCCTATCACATACCTCATCAGTGTTGTACATGGAGAGAGCAACTCCACCCTCACCAGTAAAGTTGAAGACCTCTATTTCTGTCTTTTCATCTTTCCCTTCTGGAACTGCTTACAAGAACACAATTCATTATAAAAATATTCGTACTTCGTAGAAACAGATATGATCATATAAATAGAAAAAGACACGTATCCAAGATAAAATATAAAAATTAAATCACTCTTTCCTTGTCAAGAACAGGAGCAAAAAATGAGGAGGTGTTGTTAGATATCTATCTAAAAGGTAAAAAAAAATGAATAAAAGTGCATTACCGAACACCAATTTCAGCTTTCCAGGTCCCTTAATAACTGTATCAGTTGCTCGGTATTGATCTCCAAAAGCATGCCTTCCAATGCATATTGGCTTTGTCCATCCTGAATGCAACAATAAATAGTTTTTGTATTATTCCATAACCTCACGAATGAGTGAATATCAACCCAAAAAGTAAAGGGAAATGATTAAGTAAAATCAGAAATAAAATGGATGAATTACTACCTGGGACCAGTCGAGGAACATTTTTGCAGAGAATTGGTTCTCTGAAGACTGTGCCTGTGGGGGAAAAAAGTTATGATGAGCCCCTAAGATTCGGATCGCAATGATTACAAAATGATAGTAGATGGGATACAATCCTTTACCATTCAAAATATTCCTAATCGTCCCATTTGGACTCTTCCACATCTGCTTCAAGCCAAACTCCTTAACACGAGCTTCATCTGTGAATACAAAAGCATGTAGCATGATAATCTCATTAATAATATAAGGATAAAATAAAGATCAACAGCATAGCATCGAACAATTTAAGCTGAGTCATGCCTACCAGGAGTGATGGTAGCACATTTAATTGCTACATTGTACCTACAATTTCAACATACAAAATTACCATCAACTGAGAAGAAAAACAAATACATATATATGAAAATTGTGATAGAAAACTCAAAAATATAGCCGTCGGAAATTTTATTTATCTACTACATATATTATGAAGAAAATCAGAAAATAAAGGCATCAAAGTCCTATTATTAAAAGTTCAATATTTATTCAAAATCGAAAACAGGGGATGTCATACTTAAGAGTAGCTTCTGCACTTTCAATGGTTACTTTGTCATCTGTAGCATCTCGATGGGGAAGGCCAAGGTCATAGTACTTTATATCCAACTCCACAAAAGGAAAGATCAGCTGCAACATTACAAAAAAAAAACTAATCAAGTGAGTCAGTCAGTCGCACATATAAATACACACACTTATAAGATTATATATAGTTTTCATTAAACTTATAGAAAAAGATTATCGGGGAGATTATATTACCTTGTCCTTGATAAATTGCCAGATGACCCGTGTCATCTCATCTCCTGCATCACAGATTAATTTTAAAAAGTCAATTATTATATCAGGAAATGATCATAATAAATCATATCATTCATTAAGGTTACTTCTGTTAAATTCCAGGAAGATCAAAATCAAGTATATAAAACAATCTGCTTTCAATTTTATTTTTTAGATAATATATTGAAAAATCAGGTATTTATGTGTAAAATAGATCAGATTCTGATATTTATGCAAAGAAACATGTCCCATGGAACTCAAAGTATCCCACAAGAAAGAAACATGGGCCCAGCAACTTCTACAGGCAAATCCAAAAAGGAAAAAAGAAAAAAAAAAAAAACACTTTTAGACTACAAAATGAGAGATCTTGAATCTTCAATGTAGAATATCTAATAAGCACTGATCTATAGTCAACTCATACACACACAAGGCTAATCAGCACAAGTTTCCCAAACCCAGATCTGTATAAGGTATATAAATCTATGATAGAAAATCGATATAGAAAGAGAGATCTGAAACTTGCCGTCCATCTCAACGATGGGGTTGGCCACCTTGATCTTTTCAAATGCCATTTTTCGTCTTTACAAATCAAACTGAAGGACACCTTCTGCAACAAAGAAAAAAAAATGCAATGAGATAATAAAAACCAAAGAAAAATCTTGGCCGGAGAAAGAGAGTATATGATTGAGAGTTACTGAGAAATATGCAAAGCCGGCGCAAACTACAGAGGAATGAGAAAACGCAGCTTAAAATATGTGAAGACGTAATTATTTTGTTTTTATCTTAAATTACTAATATACCCACATGACATACTACTTCTTACGACTGTAAGCGGTCCGATTTTATCGATTTTTAACAGATTTTCAAACAAAAATAATTTGAGAAAAACTCAAACTCAAATCTAAACCAAATCATTTTGAATAGTGTGAAAAAAACTCAAACCTAAATCTAACAGTTTGGTCCGATTTTAAATCGTCGGTTTCCCAATATATTTTTTTGCCCGTCTACTTTTATGTCATTAATTCATTGAATTTAATATATATTTATATTTTACTAGTAATAAATCTAAAACAAACTAAACTCTTATTTGAACCAAATTTTTGGGATAAAAAAGAAAATTTGGACCGTTATCCCACAAGTCCAGCTGCCTTTGTCGACCTGTTGTTTCATGTGTGGGACCCAGCCTCCTCTCCAATAGTCAATTTTCTCATTATGATGATATGAAAAATATGATTCAAACATGGGTTAAATGTATCTACTATAAATTTAAATATCAACTAAATCAAAGTGAACTAACAGTAAACTAAAATATAGTTGTTTTTCCTTTTTTTGACCTTTTTAACCTAATGACGATACAATAACGTTACAATAAAAGTCTACTAAACTAAATATAAGGCCCAAAAAATATAATGATGTCCAACAAGATCTCGTGATTATCATATCTGAAAAAATGATATTAATTAAATAAAGAGAATAACAACCTACAATAATAAAGTAATTGTTTATAATATCTAAATATAACAATTATAAAAGTTTACGTTTGTATGATGTTATGAAATGCATTTATTTTCAGATTCTTAACTTAATTTGCTCCAAAAAAATTATTGATTTGAAACTTTATTCGTAACAAATATTATCATCGAAGGTCTTGAATCTCTTTGTCTTCGATTTGGTATAATGAATTTCAATTCAATTTTTAAGAGACGTGAAAATTTTGAAAAAGAAGTGTATGGTGACGGTGACTCAAGACTGTGTTGGGAGTCGACTGAAGTTCATCTAAATTCTGAAGAGGAAAACGATTTTTGATAGATTATGTTAGTCTTGAAATTATTAGATATATATTAGGATTATTGGATAATAATAATAATAATAATAATAATAATAATAATAATAATAATAATAATAATAATAATAATATATCTGTATTAGAAAATTAGAAATTGATAAAAATACCCACAAATGACAAAACTATTGAATTTTACATATTTAGATGAATTTTCAAAAAATTTCAATTTTCATTTTTTTTATTTTTATATATTTTTTCGCCGATCTGGTTTGATTTTAAACGGCAATTAAAATTCTCAAATCTAAATCAAACTATTTTGACCGGTTTGGTTTGGGTCAAAACCATTTCGTTGACCGGGTCCACGTGGCACCAAACCAACGGTTTCTAAAATGCGGTTTTGGTTCGATTTTGCGGTTTTACGATTTTTGCTTACAAGCCTACTACTTGTTGCCACAAAATACGAAATTTGTAATTCATGTTGAGGGCTATTGCTGTCAATAATTTGTGCTGGAACTACTTTATAATTTTTAATCTGACTTGTGATTCCGTATAAACACCCGTTTGGCCCCCATTTTCGGAAATAAAAATGTATAAAATAATATTTTTTTTAAAAAAAATGAATGATTAAAAAGGAAGAATTTTTTTTTATTCATATGTAATATTATTTTATGAAAGATTGTATAATTGAAAATAGGAGAAAGAAAAATGAAATGAAAATTAATGGACGAAACGGTGCTAAACAGGAGTTCTATTTCTATTTTTGTTTCTTTTTAGTAAAAATGGTTTTCTAAATAATCATTTTTATCAGCTTATTCTAAAAGTTCATTTAATTAAAATAAGTAGTTTTAACAAATTATTCAAAATGATCAAAAGCACATTTTCTTATTTTCAAAAGTGACTTTTGATAATTCAAAAAAGAGCCAAATAGATTATTAGAAGCATGTTTGATTAAGTTATTTTCTTACATTCATGAAAAAAATTACTAATTTCGCATATTAAACACGATGAACGAGCCAATTATAAACAAATAATTTTACTTTGTTTCATATTGTGTTGGATCAACAATTTTAGAAATTAAGAAATTGACGTCCTAAATTTTATATGTCACAAAAAATCCTTTATTAAATTAACTCAATCTATCCAACTTCATATTAATGAATACAATATTGGCAATACATAAATGAACCGCTTAAAAAAAATTATAAAGAAAATAAAATTCGATCATTCACTTAAAAATTCGTCATTAGTTGAATGACCACAAAATCATACAATTATTCAGATCAGGAGTAACAAGTCAGATCACCAAGACAATAAATTAATCATGGCCTTTCTTTGACGAGGATTAAAATAATATTTTTAGTAAATTTTGATAGAAGTTAAGGAAATATGTAGTTAAAATTAATTGTTGATTTTGATTTAATTAAAATTTATACCATAAAGGGACATAATAAATAAGAAATAACAACTGATTTTTTAATTGGATAAATTCATAATTATGATTACATTCATTTGATTCCCATTATTTAAAAAATATATTTTTCCATCTCTTCTTTTCAACCACGTATTTTTAATAAAATAATTTTACACACGAATTCAAAACATTTTTTATTCATTTTTTAACCATACATTTTCTATCAATCTATTATTTTAAAATACATTCAACACAAAAAATGGGTTCAAACAAGCTCTTAATGAATTTAGGTGGTACAAATGCAAGGAGACGCTTACCCATATTTTATCGCATCTCACCTAACCCACTACCGACCTCTTTTCATCAGCCTAGTGGGAAGTTGGCATAATTGACTTCAAATTTGGAAAAATTGAACCAAGAGTGCTCAGTGTACATCATTTTTTTTACATTGTACCACGCGTCGTTATATTATTGAACATTTAAAAAATATATATAATTTTTTCACCAATTGAATCTTGTCAATTCGGATGATGTCAAAAATGACGTACACATTTGATGTACAAATGACTTTTCCAAATTAAACCAATGGTGAAATGAAACACATGTATCTAATTCAAATTTTTTAGAGATTTAAAAAATGTAGGCGTATTCAATTAATTTTTTTTTATTTTAAAATATTTTAAAATATTATAGAGTATTAAATTAAGACTTTTTAAAAGTCAAAAAGTCACTAATCACAAAATATCAATGATTTCTATAAAATCATTCACACACTAACTTTACGTAGAAAAGATAAATATAAAATATCATAAAAAGTCTCTCAGTTGCTCTCAAAATTTTGAAAGATTTACATTAAAAAAAAAAATCTCTTTTCATTAGCAATATTTCTCTATTTCATTTTTCCATTCAACAGATCCTATAGTCACGCCACAAAAATCAAAGTTTTTTCTATTTTCATTTTTACTATCTTCAATATGTTATATTTATCATTCTATTTTGAATATTCTCATTTTTTTTTCTCTCTCTTTTTTCATAACTTTCTCTTTTTCCTAATAAAAAAAATCAATTTGTAATTAAAAATTTCTTATTAGTTTCTCTCTCTCTCTCTCTCTCTCTCTCTCTCTCTCTCTCTCTCTCTCTCTCTCTCTCATATTCTCCTCCAAAATTTCTATAGATGAAGATTTATTTAATTTGTAATTAACTTTTTATATATGTGTTGCTATTTAATTTAATAACTTTCTACATATTTGAACACATTGATAGTATTGAACATAAGAGAATTTTTTCTTTTCATTTTTTTTTATACTTTGATTATTTAAATATAAGTCAAATCAATTCTATAAAAGTCTTTAAATATAAATCTAAAGTTTTAAAACTTTATATAAAGATTACTAAAATTTCATTTACTCTACAAAAGTCATAAACTTGAAAAAGTATTTAAATATTAAAATTGAATACATACCCGTAATTTTGTATACAAACTGCTGACTATGACATGTATAAAACATATAAATTTCAATAACAAATTAATAGAGATATTGAATGTTTATGATCATTTATTTCATTTTAATTTTCGTAAATTGTAAGTATAATTATCTATTCAATGATGTTTTGAGATTTAACTTATGGCATATTGTTAACAATAAATAACTCAAACCGATAACAATGAATTCATACCCCTATTATGCAAACCATGTTGGGATCAGCCAAATCATATGATAGTCTTAGCTACGTAATATGACCTGCGAGTAGTTATAAATGCAAGGACCTGCAAATAAATAAGAAGTGGCCAAGTAATACTACAACAAAATTGTGATTTCGCTTCAAAATTTTTCACCACATAAAAAAGTTGATGTAGTTAGTGATTTAACGCGACACATTTTTAAAGTTTGTCGTGAAGATTGTGATGAAAAAAATAAGTATCAAAAAATATAAGATGGCATAAAAAGTTGTTGTGAAATGTAAGAAGTTGCAACAAATAATGAAGAATGTCGCCAAAAATATGGGAGAAGCAAGGTACCAAAATATTTTTGATGGGAAATTTATGGTGACAAACTTTTATTTCTTGCAACAAAATGTTTGTGATGCAATAGGGTCTACTTTCTGTGATAATAAATATCTATAGTTCGAGAAAAAAATCGCTACGAGAAAGACTTTTTTTTGTAATGGACAAAAAATGTTGCAGTAAATTTTTTACAACTCATAGTATATTGCAAGCTTTAATGATGTCGTAGAGTACAAGGATTCGTTAACATGTAATGAAGTTGTAGAAGCATTCAAATCTATGTTGTTGTTAAGTTTTTGCGGCGTACCTCATCCGTTGCTTTTATTATATTTTGCAACACTATTTGCTAGTTGTCTTAACTTTATTTTGCAACATTCTTTTATTTTTTATTCTTTTTCCAAGAAGTGTTTGTTTTCTGGTCTAACTAAATTTTAATATGTAATATAATTTTTTTTTAAATTTTAATATTTTTTACCATGAGAAATTTTTTATAATAAAAGCTTTATAACATTTTTTTTTTAAAAAAAATTATCTCCAAAATAATTCAAAAAAGTCATTAGACGATT